AACATGACTTCGAACGGGGCCCTCTTGGGCCTCCCTGAGGCCGTCTGGTTGGGCCTCCTGGGCCGGCTTCGGGGCCTCTTGGGCCGTCTCGGGGGGTTCGGTGAGCCCCACAGGCCGACCCTTTTGGGCCGTTTTGGGGCATCTTGGGGCCTCTTTGGGGTCCCTGATGGAGGCATTTTTAAGCCTCTTGGGGCCTCTTGGGGGCCTCTTGGGGGCCTATTGGGGCGGAAATCTCCATTGTCGGTTCGTGTTCCCCCTCTTTGGCACCTCTTGGGGCCGTCTTGAAGCCCTCTTGGGCCGTCTTGGGCGCCTCTTGGACCGTTCGGGCGCCCTCTTGGGCTGTCTTGGGGGCCTCTCGGGGGCCTTTGGGCCGTCTTGGGGCGATGTTCGAGGCTTCCTCGGCAATCTTGGAAGGTCAGAAGCCCGAAAACGCGGGCAAGCAAAAAACATTGAAAAACACAATGGAAATCTATGATTTTAGCCTCTTGGGCTCTCTTGGAAAGCCTCTCGGAGCGCCCCTGGGGCTTCTTGGGGAACCCTTGGGCCTTGATGGGGCTATCTTGAAAGTCTTGGAGCGCTCTTGGGCCGTCTTGGCGGCTTCTTGCCGTCCCCGGAAGCCGTGGTGGACGCCTCCGGGGGCGCAAAAGAGCCTCCGGACGCCCGGGGGCACAGTGGGTTACGGGGGGGGGGGGAATTCGGGAGGGTGTCCCGGCCCGGGGCCCTGGCCCCCCCGGTACCCCGGTATGTGATATATATATATATATATATATATATACATATACATATACATGTATACATACATATATATATATATATACATATATATATATACCTATACCTATACCTATACATATGTATACATATACCTATACATATGTATACACATGTATACATCTGAATGTACGTGTAAACATGTGTATATGTACACACGGGTGCAAGCGCTTATCGGTCACCCTGCTGTTCCTGCCCCAAAGACTAGAGGCGGGTGCGCCCATCTACTCTTCTCCTGTTTTCTGTTAACCTCATTATCCCTCGTTATCCCTCTCTCTGCTTATTTGGCTCTCTCTCTCTCTCTATTTCTCTCTCTCTCTCTCTCTTTCTCTCTCTCTCTCTCTCTCTCTCTCTCTCTCTCTCCTCTCTCTCTCTCTCTATATATATATACATATATATATGCCTCTCTCTCTCTCTCTCTGTCAATCTTCCTTTCTCTTTCTCATATATGTATACACATAGTTATATATCCCTCTCCCTCTCTCTCTCTCTCTCTCTCTCTTTCTCTCCTTCTCTCTCTCTCTCTCTCTCTCTCTCTCTCCTCCCCCTCTCATTCCCTCCCCCTCTCTCTCGTTCTTTCTCTCTCTCTCTCTCTCGCTCTCTCTCTCTCTCTCTCTCTCTCTCTCTCTCCCTCTCTCTTCTCTCCCTATCCGCCGCCTCCTCCGTTCTCATATTCCAGTTATTATTCATCCTCCAGCTGGGGTTGCAAAACAAGAAAACAAGAAGGGGGAAACAACAAAAACAATGAGACAAGAGGCTGAACCACGAAAAAACAAGGGTGAACAAAAACAACAAACAAACGTACTTAACTACTTCCTCTGGGTGGCTGTGGGGGTGGACGAACTATTGAAACGTTTATATTGCGTTGTGTTTCGCTGTTTGTTTCTTACGTTGCTTTGGTGTTCCAGCCGTCGGCCCTTGACTTCTTTGGTTTTTCATGTATCTCCTTGGGGTTTGCCCCCCGCCCTCGCTTGGGGGAGCGGGCGGCGGCGGAGCGGAGCGGGATGGCGGCGGCGGAAGCTGCGGGAGCGGCGGCCGGGGGGGCAGGAAGAGAGGGAGGAGGAGGAAGAGGAGGAGGAGGAGGAGGAGGAGGAGGAGGAGGAGGAGGAGGCGGCGCCGTCATCCCCTTTAGGATGGTCCGTCCTCTGCTGTAGGACGTGCCGTTGGTCTTTTTCGGCGCCCCCATTTGATGCAAATGGTCGGCAATTCGGAACTATTGCGAATCAAGTCAGCCTGGCGCCCATGGCAGTTCACACTGCACCTGGCCCTGCAATGGCGTCCTCTTCGCTCCCCTTCTCGTCCGCAGCCGCCGCCTCTAAACCCGAAATTCTCGCGGCTCTCATCACCAAAAATGAAGTGGTGTGCAGACGCAGCGGGTCAGGAGCGTTCCGAAGAGAAAATTAACCGTCAAGGTCAAGGACGGGCCGCCAAAGGAAAACAATATGCAACCCTCCTCCCCCTCCTCCGCCTCCTCCTTCTCCTCCTCACCTTTTTGGGTTGAGGGTCGCCAGTGTTTCCCTCAGCCCCCGGGCAGAGCTCAGCAAACTGAATCAGTCGAGGTCCTCGACCGACCGACCGACCGACCCATCGCCTTCTCTTCGTCCGCATCCCCCCTCCTTTCCCCAAATTCCATGCGGCACCCTTCTCCGCATCCGTCCTCGGCCCCGTTCACCGTCGTCGCCGTGGTGTTCACATCGTCCTCGTCGTCCTCGCCGCCGCCAACGCCGACGTCGTCGTCCATCTCCGCATCCTCCTCCTCCTCCTCCTCCTCCTCCTCCTCCTCCTCCTCCTCCTCCTCCTCCTCCTCCTCCTCCTCCTCCCCCTCCGGCGGCGCGCGCGGGTCTCTGCCGCGGCCGAAGCTCTGTGGTCGGGAGCCGGCGTAACCTCCCAACCCCAGGACCAGCACACCTCTCGGCGGTGGCGGGCCCTGGAGCCGAGAGGGTGCGCCAGCCAGGGCCTCTAGACTGCGATACCGGGGACCGCGCCGTGCTCAGGGAGGAACGGGTAGCCTCGCCTCCCGGGCCTCCAGAGCTCCCCAGCCCGCCCACGGGCCAGCTCCGCCCGACCGGCGGCCCCGCGGGTCGGCCAGTACGCCGGGCCTGCCCGCAGCCGCCGCCAGGGTCGGCGCCCGCAGCACTGCCTGCGCCGCCCGCGTAGGGCTGTCCAGCGCTCCCAGCCCAGCCCAGCCCAGCCCAGTCGCAGCGCTTGCCGCCGTCGCCGCGCCCGCGGGGCCCCGCCCAGCACGGCGCCGCCCATTCAGCGCGTCGCCGCAGGACCCGCGCCCCAGTCCAGCGCCGCCCCAAGCCCCGGGGCGGCAGCCCGCGCAGCTCAGCGCAGCCCGACGCGCGCCGGAGCTGGCGCGCCATCTGGTGCTGGAGCGCGCAGCTGGGCGCCTTGTAGGCGCGAGCCAGCTCCCCTGGCTGCGTGTCCTCCGGGAGCTCGCGCACCTGCGCCAGCAGCCACTGCCGCGCTTCGGCACCCAGGCGGCCCGAGGTCTCCATGGCGAACGCAGTCAAACGCTCGCCTGGATACCTCTCGTATTTTTTGCGCTCGGACCTGCGCGTAGCCTCGCCTGGCCTTCGCGCCGCAGCCCATAGCGACGTCTCGTCGCCAGCCGCCGGGTGGCGGACCGTCACCTCCTCCTCCTCCTCCTCCTCCTCCTCCTCCTCCTCCTCCTCCTCCTCCTCCTGCTCCTCCTCCTCCTCCTTTTCCTGCTCCTCCTCCTCATCCTCCTCCTCCTCCTCCTCCTCCTCCTCTCCTCTCCTCCTCCTTTATCCCTCCTCCTCCTCCTCCTCCTCTTCCTCCTCCTCCTCCTCCTCTTCCTCTTCCTCTTCCTCCTCCTCCTCCTCCTCCTCCTCCTCCTCCTCCTCCTCCTCCTCCTCCTCCTCCTCCTCCTCCTCCTCCTCCTCCTCCTCCCCTGTTCATTATAACTAACTCCCTCCTGTCGCACCCCGAGACGTGTCGGTAGGGCGGTCCTGGAGTTGTCCCTGAGAACTCCTGAGAAATATGACTCTTAAGCTTAAAAATTGCAGCCGTTACACGGATGGAAGGCGGGTCGTTTTCAACATGTGGGTCCCTCTTTAGCGCCGCGCACATTCGTCCAGTCTGCAAGAGCTTCTTGGATGCAGGGCGGGCCGTTGTCAACATGTGGCTCTCGCCTCGGCGTCTCGCGCTCAAAAGTTCGCAAAGGCTTCTCGGATGGAGGGCGGTTCTTTTCAACATGCGGCTCTCGCAGTAGCGCCGCGCACATTCGCCCTAAGAGTTTACAGCAGTTTCAAGGAGTCTGATCGCTGACGTCTCAGGAATAATGTTTGGGCACGGTATAAGCCTGTCAGGGCGTAACAGTCACGTTGACTCGCGGTGTCGAAGTCCCAGGTATGGCGTTCTGGCGCGACTCGGGATCGACAGGACGCAAAATTATCGTTGACTGTCGGCGCTGAAGTCCCAGGAATTGCGTTTTGGCCCGGCTCTGACTTTCAGGCGGTTGTCTTCCAACGGGCCACTTCCCTCACTGAACATAAACCCTCATAGGGACCCATGAAAGGCTTATAGCACCATCGTTGATGAACATTGGGCTTACACTGGTCGTCCTCCTCTCCTTTTTGGGCTGAGGGTCGCCATTGTCGCCCTCAGCCCCCCAGGCAGAGCAGCAAACTGAACCACTCGAGGTCCACGACCAACCGACCGATCTCCTCCTCTTCGCCTTTATCCCCTCTTTTGTCTTCCTTTCGCCACCTTCTCTTTAGCATCCTTCTCCGCATCCCTGTCCTCGCCCCCGTACCTGCATTCGACTTCGTCGTGGTGTTCATCGACGTCCTCGTCGTCCTCGCCGCCGATGCCGTCGTCGTCCATATCCGCATCCTCTTCCTCCTCATCCTCCTCTTCTTCCACCTCCTCCTCCACCTCCTCCTCTTCCTCTTCCTCCTCCTCCTCCTCCTCCTCCTCCTCCGGCTCATCGACCTCATCGCTCTGACAGGCGCCATGAACGCGTCCGCTGTGCGACTTGCGCTGCTGCGCACCGCTCCTATGTGCATACATGGACTGATGGTGTCCCTCCTCATCCTCCTCCTCCTTATACAATTGCTTCTATTGCTGTTCCACTTCTCCTCATCCTATTCGTCCTCCTCCTATTCCGCCTCCTCCTCCTCCGCATTCTGCTTCTCTCTGCTACGTATGCTCATATTGTTTGTCCTCCTTCTCCTGGTGCTTCCCCTCCCGCAAAGCCCCGCCATTGATCCAGGCATCATAGCTTCAGCAGCGCCTTCGTATATCGCGGTGTACATCACAGCCCTCCCCCCCCACTTGCATCCAGTAGACATCGCATTGGCAGATATGTGCACGAGGCTTGCCGCAAACATTAAAAATGCAATATGCATTCGACCAGTCGCCAGTGGCGGCACCACCTGAACACCTTCGCGTGCCAGGTCGCAACGAATGAACCAACGCGGCCGACGAAGTGATTTGAGCGAACGCATCGCTTCCTCCTTAGTTGCCGTGCTGGACGGTCAAACAATGGGCACTATCCTTCTGAAAGGGGGCGCGGCACATACGTTACCACGGGTTGCTGCGGTAGAACTGCGCTGGCGCAGCATCACGAGGAAAATCCTCGAGGCCTCGCGCGGCACCTTGAGACCAGATGTACGTAGGATCCACGTCGAATCTGCGTCGGGTTCACGCCAGAGTGCGTCGGATTTACGTCGGATCCACGTCGGAATTACGTCGCACTTACGCTGGAAAATCGCCAAGGCAAAATCGTCCAATCTCTGACGGGGCGGACGTGCGAACTAGATAATACAACTACTGCGCGCCGCGCGATGCCTCCAGGATTCTCCTCACAGCACAGCGCTCCCAAACAAAATCCAGTAGCACCCAAGGCTGGTAGACAAGCTGTAGGATTCCAGGGATAACGACCATGCGTGTTGGGGGATCAACGAGTACTCCCCTCTCCACACATGCACTAGATCGACATGCAGCATGCATCGTGAGACCTGCACAGTGCACGTCCCAGCATGTCCGATTGGCCCGAGAATGGTGACAGTATTAGCCTGCACCTGCTTGAGGGAGCCACCGAATTGCACCAGCATGGAGACCCTAAAAACCAACACTGCACGGCACGACACGGCACGGCACATGCTTCACATTCTAGAACGCAGAGGCACAACACTGTACAGCAAAGCACGGCACGGCACGGCACGACACGTCTCCCCCATTCCAGAGCACAGGCACGGCAAGGCATAGCGCACAGACACTGCACAGCACGGCAAGCCACCTTTTCCGCAATTCCGGAACGCAAGCACGGCATGACACACGCAGACACGGCACGGCACTGCACGACCCATCTTCCCCACTCTAGAACACAGGCACGGCACGGCACGGCAAGCAGGCATGGCACGCAGGCACGGCACGGCATGGCACTGTACATGCTTCGCACTTTAGAACACAGGCACGGCACGACACAGCACGACACGGCACTCAGGCACGTCGCGGCAGTGCATGGCACACCCCTCGAATTCTAGAACGCACGCCACGACACGCATGCACGTCAAGCAGGCAAGGCACGGCACGGCATATTCGCTGTACTCTAGAACACAGGCACGGCACGGCACGGTACATGTTTCGCAGTCTAGAAAATGGGCACGGCACAGAATGCGGGCACGGCACGGCACGGCACGTTTCTCGCGCTGCGTTCCGGAACGCAAGCACGGCACGGCACGCAGGCGCGGCACGGCACTCCAGCGGCACACTCTTCGCATTCCAAAATGCAGAAAGTGTGAAATACAAACACGACCCTTGCAGCATGTGCGGTTTAGGAAAACACAAGTAAGCAGTTTAGTCGACAACATGCTGGACGGATATCTCGAGACACGCACGGAAATAATGCACGCAGCACGGGAGCTTACGTTTTACCCTGTCTTCGGCTCATGCCACTCCCAACTCCCCTCTGCCCCTCCTGGAGTCACACTTGTATATGCTTCAAAGTCAAAGCTGCAAGAAGCCCGGGCGCACGGGACAAATGCATGCGCTCCACTTGGCAGTAATGGCTGTTCGTAGCACCAACACGCCTGGAAAATACAGCCGCACATGTGTGGATGCACTGGCTACTGAGCCACCATCGGCCAGCCTCTACCGCTCGATCGCAACACGAAGACTGTCCACTCGAGTGGTGGCGAGGAGCACAGCAACATCAAAATTCGAAAGAGACTGATAGCACCATGGCTGGGCGCAATTTGACGCGAACTGAGGGCGAGACTTATTTCCGAAATCGGAGGGCTGGCCATGATGCTCAAGGGCTAAAACATTGAGTCCGCAGCCTCACTCATCCATGCATTGAGGTGAACTATGCTGGGCCCTGCACGGTGCAAAAAAACATGAGGAATCCACGAACCCAGTAAGGACTCGATCTAAGCAAGCTCATACTATGACGCGCATCCTTAACAATGGTGCGCCATACTTCGGCAGTCTATTATACGTGGTGCTATGCTGCGTGCTCTAGCGCGTTCTTTATCTCTCGCTTGTGACTGTCTCACGACGCTCGTCATCCTAGTGGGGCCTCCTGGGGCCCTCTCCTCCTCACCACCACCACCCCTTATCCTCTTCCTCCTCCTCCTCCTCGTCCTCCTCCTCCTCGCTCTCCTCCTTCTCCGTCCGCCTCCTCCTCCTCCCGTCACTACTTGTCCTGAGTACCCTCCTTCATCTCCTCACTCGTCATGATCATCATCCTCACTATTCTGCAGATGTTCCTCGTTCTTCTCTCGCCTCCTCCTCCTCCTCCTCCTCCTTCTCCTCCTCCTCCTCCTCTTCTTCCTCTTACTCCTCCTTCTCCTCATCCACCTCCTTCCTCCTGCCTCATTCCTCCTTCCTCCTTCCTCCTTCCTCCTTCATCATTCCTCCAGCCTCTTCCTCCTCCAGCCTCTTCCTCCTCCTCCTCCTCCTCCTCCGCCTCATCCTCATCTGTCCTCCTCCTCCTCCTCCTCATCATCCTCATCTTCCTCCTCCTCCTCCTCCTCCTCCTCCTCCTCCTTATCATCATCCCCCCCATCAGTTATCCTTATAACTAATTCCTCCCTGTCGCACCCCGGGACGTGTCGGTAGGGCGGGCAAGGCGTTTCGCCAGAGACTTCCTCGCCGTCTGTGATCATGAAGCTTGACACTGCCAAAAGCTTCAAGGATGGAGGGCGGGCCGTTTTCAACATGTGGCTCCCACCTTAGCGCCGCGCACACTCGTCTGAAAAGTGTGCAACCGTTTGAAGGATTGAGGGCGGCCCGTGTTCTAAATATGGCTCTCGAGTGAGCGCCGCTCACATGAAAGTTCGCAACCTGTTCCATGGTAGTGGGCGGATCGTTTTCGAAATGTTGCGCTCACCTTAGCGCCGCTCTCATTCGTCTAACAAATGTGCAGCAGTTTCAAAGATTGAGAGCGGTTCCTTTTCAACAGCTGGCTCTCGCCTTAGCGCCGCGCACATTCGTCTTAAAACTAGACCATGCAAGCGTATGGTTGAAGTCCCAGGACTGGTGTTCTGGCATGCTTTTGGATTGTGAGAACGCAACAGTCGCGTGCAGTCGCTGCGCTGAAATCCCAGTAATAGTGTTCTGACAAGGTGTAGGATTGCCCAGACGCAAAAGTAACGCTGATTCCCTCCCTCCCTCCCTCCATCCATCCCGTCCTCCTCATCATCAGCCTAAGCCTCCTCCTCCTCCCCATGCTTCACACATTTCCTCCTCCCCGGTCTCACTAATCCTGGTCATTTCTCACGAGCTTCCTCCTCCTTATCCCCCTCCCCAACGTCAGCATCATCATCATCATCATCATCATCATCATCACCACCACCACCACCACCATCATCATCATCATCAGCATCATCATCATCATCATCCTCCTCATCATCATCATCATCATCATCATCATCAGCATCAGCATCAGCATCAGCATCATCATCATCATCATCATCATCAGCAGCAGCAGCATCATCATCAGCAGCACCATCATCTGTATAAGCAGCCTCAGTATCAGCATCACCAGCATCATCAGCATCATCAGCATCATCACCATCAGCATCAGCATCATCATCCACATCATCATCATCCTCTGCATCATCATCAGCATCAGCGTCAGCATCACCAGCATAATCATAATAAGAACAAGCATAAGCATCATCATCAGCATCGTCAGCATCAGCATCATCATCAGCATCGTCACCACCATCATCATCATCATCATCATCATCATCATAGTCAGCATCAGCACCAGAAGCACCATCATCATCATCACCACCACTACCAGCATCATCATCAGCAGCACCATCATCATCGTCGTCAGTATCATCGTCATCGTCATCGTCATCATCAAAAGCATCAGCATCAGCATCAGCATCATCATCATCTTCATATTCATATCCATCAACATCCTCCTCCACAGCATCATAAGCATCATCATCATCAGTAATATCAGCATGATCGTCATCATCATCAGCATAGCCAGCATCATCAGCAGCAGCATCATCATACGCATCACCATCATCAACAGCATGAGCATCAGCATTATCCTCATCATCAGCAACAGCATCATCATCAGCATCATTACCATCATCTTCAGTATCAACATCAGCATCATCATCACGGGTCAGGGGGCGGATCGCCCCCCCTGCGATTTTCATGTTATTTGTCCTTACGGTGGCTCGTGCAGGACAATTGTTGGATGCTGCGCGTGCTGACTCCGACCAAACAAAAAGCCTGAACACCCGCGTCCTCCATGTCCTCGCACTGCGCCTTCCGCGACGATGCGATAACTTTCCCTGGGGCGGACTGAGCCCCCGCCCCAGCCAGCCTAACCCAGCCACACCTGAGCCTTAGCCTAAGCCAACTCCGCCTAAGCCCCAGCTTAACCTGAGCCTTGCCTAAGCCCAGCCTGAGCCCCAGCCTCAGCCTAAGCCGCAGCCTAGCCCGCACCTCAGCCTAAGCATAGCCCGAACTTCGCCCGAACCTCGGCCTAAGGCTTGGCGTAAGCCTCAGCCTAAGCCTAGCCGAAGACTCTGGCCGAAGACTAGCCTAAGCTTCAGTCTAAGCCTCAGCCTCAACCTAACATGAACCCCAGCGGAAGCCGAAGCCGAAGCCTCAACCAAACCCTAGCCTGAGCCTCAGCCCTGGTTTTGCTGCACTGTGGTACCATTACCACTACATTACCATAACAGAAACACTGCTACAATATTGGAGCACGACTGCTCCTACGACACTGTCCCTACTACTATTACTGCTGCTACTACTACTGCCACTACTACTACTACTACTACTACTACTACTACTACTACTACTACTACTACTACTACTACTACTACTACTACTACTACTACGACTACTACTACGACTACTACGACTACTACGACTACTACTACTACGACTACTACTAACTACTAACTACTACTACTACTACTACTACTACAGACTACGACTACTACTACTCTAACTACTACTAACTGACTACTACTACTACTACTACTACTACCGCTGCTACTTGCTGCTACTGCTACTGCTACTTGCTTACTGCTAGTTGCTTAAACTACTACCACTTACTCACTACTACTACTACTACTAACTGACTACTACTACTACTGACTATACTACTACTACTACTACTACTACTACTACTACTACTACTACTACTACGACTACGACTACGACTACTACTACTACTACTACTACTACTACTACTACTACTACTACTACTACTACTACTACTACTACCACCACTACTACTACTACTTACTACTACTTACTACTAACTACTACTACTACTACTACTACTACTACTACTACTACTACTACTACTATTACTACTACTACTACTACTACTAACTACTGACTACTACTATAACTAACCACACCACCACCAACACCTACCACCACCTAACCTACACCACCACCACCACCACCCACACCACACTACTACTACTTATTACTACTGCTCTCTGCACTAACTACTACTACGCCTCGACTACTGCTACGACCTACACTACACAGACCTACACTACGACTACGACTACGACATACCTACGACTACGACTACGACTACGACTACGACTACGACTACGACTACGACTACGACTACGACTACGACTACTACTACTACTACTACTACTACTACTACGACTACTACTACTACTACTGCCTACTACTACTACTACTACTACTACTACTACTACTACTACTACTACTGCTGCTGCTACTGCTACTGCGACTGCTACTACTACTAATGCTACTACTACTACTACTACTACTACTACTAATACTACTACTACTACTACTACTACTACTACTACTACTACTACTACTACTACTACTACTACTACTACTACTACTACTACTACTTACTACTAATTACTACTACTACTACTACTACTACTACTACTACTACTACTACTACTACTACTACTATAGTATTGCTACTACTACTACTTCTTCTACTACTACTACTACTACTACTACTACTACTACTACTACTACGAATGCTACGAATGCTAAAACTACGGATACTACGGCCACTAGTACTACTGCAGCGCGACCGTACTAGCGTGCTGCTGCAGTACAATATGGTATTACCCGTACAGCCGCCACCACAGTGTTACCACTACTACTGTGCCAGAGCACTACTGCGACTGCAATAAAATCCACTGAACACTCCAATGGTGGAGTTCCACTATCACTACTGCCCGTATTAGGCTACGATGCACTACTAGAGTGCCACGAATGCAGTATTTCTGCTAGTGTACTGTACTACGACATGTGTAGCACCACCACTACAACATTTCAGGACTAGAGCACTACAACAGTGCTGCGATACTACGGCAATACCAGAACACCACAACAGTACTGGAGCACTACAACAGTGCTAAAAGTATTCCTACTACAATATTGTAGCACACGCACTGCCAGCAATAGTAGAATAGCACGTTTCGCGAATTTTGTGCAAGAACAATGCTTCTACAGCGCCACTACTGCAACAGTACAGCACGGCCCCACAATAGTACAACACTCTTCCTACAACACCAC